AGAATCCTGATTTTAATCTCAGAATCCTGATTTTAATCTCAGAATCCTGATTTTAATCTCAGAATCCTGATTTTAATCTCAGAATCCTGATTTTAATCCCAGAATCCTGACCCTAATGCTCATCCGTGAGTCGTTACAAACTTTACCCCCAAGCTGTCCTCCTGCCGGTGTTGCCTCCAGTTGTGTCCCGTGTCGCTGAACATCAGCAGGTAGGACGTCAGCCAATCAGAGCTGCCGTAGCGGCCCTGCGTGGCCACGGCGGTAATCTGGGTCCGTCTCTGCAGATCCACCTCCAACCACTGGTACTTATCTGACCACAGAGGAGACCAGCCTCCAGCTCCTGCACCAGTTACACACAACAACAAATCAGTTCAGATTCTTTCATCCAGTTTCAGGCACAATCATGAAGTAAAGATATTTGTTGAGTTTGAATTCAGTGACTTTAAAATCTGCAGCACACTGTGGTGAGATTTTGCTGCGCTCGTCTTCTGCTCAGTATTCTTATTCTGGGAAGCCACCCAAGCTGTTTACAAAGCTCCACATTTTATCCACAAGCCACCAGGACTGAGCACAATGTGGTTCAGAATAACTGGAAATCGTGTCTATTCACATTTCCACGCTGATGTGATGGCAGCCTGTGAGCTGCAACATCTGTCCTCTCCACAGCGATTAGCAGAACACGGTCGGGCCTCTGGAGGGAAGCGCGCCTCAGCGCATCCTGACAGCAGCTGGAGCAGCAGCTGGAGAGGGCATCCAGCTATGTATGGGGTTTGTTCACACCGTGTTCGCAGTGAAGGCTGGCAAAAATCCCATTAAGACCAAAGGAACTGTGAAGAATACACTGGTATGACTTTGGTTGGAATAAAGCACCAAATCAGGTTATTTATTATCTCAAGAGAATCACTTATGTATTTTAGCATAAAAATACATACACTTATAGCATAAAGTGTATGCTATAAGTATACAGTCATTGAATATGACTGTATTGACATTAAATACTTGATAAGGAAAATTCGTCCAAAAAAGTATTTGGGAAAAAGTTTACTCAAGTAACTGATCAAATTATCAGTCATCTAGTATTTAAAAATTACATAATTAGACGGACCAAAATATAAAGTTAAACTGAATTTTTGGGATTTTAAAGACCAAAATGACAATAATTCAGTTAAGTAATAAAAATAATAAAATCAGGCAAAAGAAAATGTTTGACATCAGTTATTTAGATAAAAAACTAAGGAAACTTCAACAGAAACTGCAGGTGTGTGTCTGGTTAAAACATGTTTGTTTTACATTCAGTGGATAGAAAGTCCAGAAATTTTCCTCAGGTAAGAGTAGAAATACTTCATGATAAAATTACTCAAGTAAAAGTAAAAAGTACAGCCTATTAGAAATACTCCTAAAAGTTTTTTTTATTTTTCCCAAAAACATTACCCAAGTAATGTAACTAGTTACTGCCCCACTATGAGTGCAATGAAAGGTAGTGAAGTTTGTTTTCATTTGAGACAAAAACAAAAATCTTCTTATGATACTGCTTCTTCTTTTCAGCTCAAATTTTATTAGAGAAATGTCTTAATTGTTTGTTTTGTTGCTGTGTTTGTAATTTTATTTTATCAACCGGTAAATGAGGTCAAATAAAAAATACACATAGAGCTCTGGAAAAACATTAAGATAAACCACTTAAAATGATCAGTTTCTCTGATTTTACTTTTTATATGTTTGTGTTTGAGTAAAATGAACTTTGTTCTTTTATTCTACTGACACGTCTATGAAAGTCCATAGTATTTATTTGCAGGAAGTGAAAAATAGTCATAATAATGAAAAAGATGCAGCGCTTTCAGACCTCAGATAAAGCAAAGAAAACAAGTTTATGTTTATTTAGATACAACAATAAAAATGTTTTAACTCAGGAAGAGTTCAGAAATCAACATCTGGTGGAAGAACCAGCAGGTTTTCAGTGGGTTCAGTGCAGTGGGCTCTCCATTCACATTTCTTACTGACATTATGAACATCAGTGTCTCTAGAAATATACTTGATTTTTAAAGTTTTTTTCTCTTTTTACTTCAAATTGTGATCATGTTTTGATTGTTTTCCATAATAAATCCACATTGAAAAATAATTTTTATCACTACTGAGATGCAAAGCAATCACTTTTGTCAATATGAAAAACAAATACAAGCAGTTTTCTTCTTTCCCTTTTCAACAAAAACATTTTAACATGTTGAAAACACGAAGCAACAGCTTTTCAATGGAAGAAGCTTTTTGTCTCAGACTCTTTTCTTCTCTTTCCTGCTCATTACGGCATCCTAAAGGTCAAAGCTAATAAGTAGCTCGGTAAAAGACATAGACATTGACAGCACAAGTGAAGAGCGCAGACAGGCCGACCTTTACTCATTACAGCCGGACTGGAGACGACAGACGCAGGAAAGAAAGAGGATGAGAGCGTGACAAAGAGAAGAGCATCAACCCACGGCTGCAGAAACCAGGAGAGGGTCAACGTTGCCCTGGTGGGCAACACCTGAGGGATGAGCAGAAACTGGTGAATTTATTCAGCAGCTGTGGCAGAATAACTCTTTCCCCCTAAACATTATACCTTTTGTCAGACATTTTATGTTTTTAAACTCCTGGTGGGAGAAAATCTTTGCTTCAGTAACTGCTTGTAATGACTCCGAAGCATTTGAACGACTCTTTGTGGTAATTGAGGTTAAAGACGGGTCAGGAGGATTATAGCGCTGGTCTGCTAGACGTTCAAATTACCTCATTACAGCAGCAAATCGACTAATATCAAGACTCTGAACGGAGGCTAAGCTAGCCAAGCTAGCACCCAGAGAGGCAGGTGGCAAAATTTTACTAAATATCTGAGAGAAATTTGATTTAAACAAATCAAAACACCACAGATTATAAATGATTTTAACTTCTAGCTGATGAAGATAGAAGTTAACTGAATGAGGTCACTGACTTTTACTTTAACCTTATATAATCTGAATATTTCAACATTAGTCAGATGCTTTTTAGGAATCGCAAAAAAAAGTAATAATAATAATAATAATAATAATAATAATAACCCGGTTCAAGCATGCTTGTTTCTGCACAGAGGCACATTAATTAGTTATAGTTCATCATACAGAAAAGTAGTTTCTAAATTAAAATCATGTTTTTGGTCAAAAAACAAGCATCAGATGTTTTATTTATTCATTCTGTAGATGTTAAAACAACACAATAAATAAACTACACTGTAAAGTATTTTAAGCTGGTTTAAATTGAAAATGAAAGTTCACCTGCTATCTTGAAAATAAAATTAAAATTACTTTGGTTTTAACCCAGGCATTAATGTTCGCCAAGTAAATTCAACAAGAGACGTCTAATCATTGTTTTTAAGTTCAGATACCTCATTAGTCTTCAATTGTGAGTCATTTTAATTTAATACTGTAATTTAAATCAAATCATTATTCCACAATATGCAAGAAAACTGACTCCATGTAGTTGAACATGGGCATACTTCTGAGTCATTTTCTCCCACTTTATTAAGTTAAAATAACCGCTTATTTTAAGTCAGAAGAATTTATATTACAAACAAAATATCTCATTAGGTATTTTATAAAATATTCCACTCAGGAACACAACTCATGCATTTTGAAAATGCATTTTCCTCAACTATTGCTAACTGACAGATGCATTAAAATGAATATTTGCCTTAAAACATACAAGAGGCGTGTCAAAGTAACACACATCCACCTCACTACAACACAAGACATAACAACATGCCGCTAAGCACCCTGGGAAATAGTCCCCACTCTTTCAGTTTCCTTTAAGCACTTGGGCTGTTTTTACTTTAAATCCAAATATGGTGCAGTTCAACTTAGGTTGCTAGGTAACGGGCAGAGTTCCACTGGGGTTGCTACGTAACGAGCAGAATTCCACTGGGGTTGCTAGGTAACGAGCAGAATTCCACTGGGGTTGCTAGGTGACGGTATAGCCTCCATAGGGGTTGGGCAGTGGGGAAGGTTTTGGAAACCTCTCATTTTCCAGACACCAGAAAACATGATCTTACTACCAAAAACAGCTGGATAGGTTTTCTTAATCAATTAAGCTATTTTTTGTTTTGTTTTGAAGCAGTGGAAACCCAAATGGAAGTGTAAAAATGTGCAAAATGTGAATTTGTCCACTACCTATGTGACCCCCAAGAAGTATACTTTAGTGGAAAATTGTTGAGCAGTGCAGTGAGAAAATGTTCCAGGTCAGGGAAACTCAAGGATTGATGTAAGACACTAACAGCATCTGATGCACTGGGAGCTAAACTTACATGAGTTTGTTTTCCCATGCTCCCAAACCTGCTGCCATTAAAAGTCCTAATCCATCGCTAACACCACCAGTCCTTGGCTTGCGTCCTAGCACAGAGCCAGGAGGAAACATCCAAAATAACACTGCTTCAAAGCTTTCATGGTACCTCAAATACATACACACAGAATCAGTTGCAGTGACATACCTACTTACAGGAGACGTTGCATTAATTATAGGAAAACTTAGTGTACCCTCAGTAGCTAACGTATATTTTTACACTACTTTAATTTGTTTCAGAGGTTTTTTTTTCCAAACAGGAAGAGGTGGTAAAGCACTACTTCAACATATGTTTACTGAAGTAAAAGTAAAAAGTAGAAATAAAAAGTACAGCGTAGTAAAAACACTGTTAAAATTTTTTTTTTTTTTTTTTTTTTTCAAAAACGTTACTCGAGTAAATATAATCGGGGAAATGTAACTAACTCTGCTTATAGATGAATGCATTTTTGTTTCAGATGTATTTATTTGCTCATCAATTTTAGTTTTAATCAAATAAAAAGAGCTGTAATCGGAGCAGCGTGTCTTCAGCTGCCTGCTGATAGCTGTCAGAGCTCAACCTGTCTGCTGGGGACAGTTAAAGGCCAATATCTCTGCAGCCATCCAAACAGGATCACTTCAGATGGCAAGATGCACCATCTGAAAAGGAACACTTGTTTTACTGCACGTTGTGACATCACTGTCATTGCTGGACTAGCTCAGCTGCAGCGGCGAACAGTTATGATGAGGCGGCCAGTGGCGGTCCTGTCCTCCGGCCAGGCATCAACATGGCTCAGGAAGGGGCCTGACTTTTATTGTTGTGTTTTAATTTGAGCTTTTTAGCATTTAAAAGGGACGTATTATGCAAAATTCACATCTTGCACGTTTTTGTTCTTCCATTTAGGTTTTTACTGCTTCTAAAAACAGACAAAGCGCTTAATAAAACAAAATAGTTTTATGTTTTTAGGTGTCTGGAAAATGAGCCATTTAAAAAAAACTCCGGAATGTAATGTCACAAATCAGCAGGCA